AACCCAGCTAGATCTGAAAAAGAATGTTGGTATACAAATTAAAAGAAAAATTATTTTGATTCTTCACTTAAGAGTAAGATAGGCTAGTAGAGACAGGATAGGGTGCCTTCTAGGAAAAAAAAAGCAGAAAAACTAGATAAAATCCATGAAACAATACTTGAGATAGGAAACAAACAAAATGAGTTTACAGCAAATCTAATTACTGTCTGGAGAGTTTCCAGGCCACACAGAAGGAAGGGCAACCCCAGGTGGATCTTCTGAGCTCTGAAATGACAAGGTGCAAATTAAAACATTCTGTCCCTCTATCATCCAGCTATCCATCTACCTGTCATCTCTCTGACTTCCATATTTATCATTTATCACTCCTATTTTTATCAGGTATTTCTACCTTTCCATATTTGTCATTATCACACATTGACTTAGGCAACACAAAGTATGCTATGATATCTGTGATATTTTTAAAAGCTAAGATTTGAAATTCCATAAAAGCAAAGTCAAGGGAAACATAAAGCCATGAATAACAACACTTGCTCTTATCTTTTAAAACATATTTAATCAAAGCTTTATTTGCTAATGCTACTTGAAATTAGCTGTTTCATAACAGATATATTTATTAAAATACACATAAAAATGAATGAAATGTACTGTTGAAGTACATGAATTAAGTAACCTAAATTGCAACCTTGGGCAAAACAAATAACTCCATACTTCTAAACTAAAACATCAAGGCAAAACCGTAACGTTGTGGTACTATCGTAATTATAAATGTGTTAAAACAATTGGTTTTAGTAGACAAAAACTAACGATTTTCAATGTATACAATTATAATGTGTAACTATAACATCATTAAAACTGTATGAAATACCTATAAATATGTACACCTATATCATATATGCATGTCAATGATAGACTCGTGTGTCTATGTATACACTTATATATTCACAGACATCTTTTTCTTTTCTAAGTCTGTATTGTATTCTCAACACTCTTCCATATTCTAATCTAAGACACTGGATCCTTTTGCTAAACTTTCAATTATTTTATTTACTCCTTCTAATGCCATTTAATATTGTGTACTAGTGTTATTAGAATGCCATATTTTCTTGTACTTAACATTTTATGTTACATCTCATGTTACTGTCTTCTTTCTTAATTTATTTTAACTTCTTTCATGAAGTTTTCATTTTCTTTTCTAAATTCCCTTCTTTCTTTTAAGGTAAACCATCTAGACTAGTATTCTAGATTCTTCCAAAGTGTTTGAAATTTTTATATGTTCCTTGTTTTGATATCATAAACTCACCTTTTATTATTCATAATTTTAGTGTTGATTTTAACTGATCCCATGATATCCCAGCCAGAGATAAATCTCTCAGATTTCCTAACAGCAAACTGTAATCATATTACTAAGTTCAGGCCAAAGGGATATATGTAAATGTCAAATAGTGTGACTTTCATGCTCTTCCCTGAAGATAGGATACCCACCTGGATTCTTCCTTACCTACCCAGTGGGCTGGAAAGCAGTCATGTGTTGGTTGATCTTCTACCTTCCAGAGATGCAAGCCATGAACAGGTGATGAAAGAGTCATTTTGCAACAGTAGGTCCTTAGATGAGCTCAAGAGATGTTTACATATCTGTACGTACTTGGAATATTAGGCGAAAAAGAAGTGACTTTCTATGTTGATGGATAAGCTATATATTTAAGTCTACTTATTACTGTAGATCAGTGTAGTGGAAAATTTCTAGACCTTAAAATTGAGATTTGGGGCTGCATAATTCTTTGTTGTGAGAGGTAGCAAAGGAGTATTGTAGGCTGTGGAGTAGCATCCTTAGCCATTATTATTGGATGCCTATAGCAACCCTGACTGTGACAAGCAAAAATGCCTCCAGACTTAGACATAAGCTTGTAAACTAATTACCACAGCAATTGCTCCCTGTAGTGGGTGTTCCCTTCAAAAATCCACAAAATAAGTATCTAACTAGGGGTCTGGTGAGAGAAAGTAAATATGGAAGGCTGGAAGGCAGTGGCATTTAGTAAAAGTGTTGTCTGTGCTATTGTAATAGGCTGAACATATTCCTACAGAAACTGAAACTGCAAGGTAAGTGCTTTGAAAGATGCAACATATCAGCATATTTTAGTTGTAACATGCTGTTTTAGCAAAATACTATAACAAAAAATATGCATTTCCAGGAAAAACTGAACAGATATACATATGATAGAGCTTTTCTTGGGAGGCATCCCACAAGTTGCTAATAGACTTGGAAAGTGAGTTCTTTCAGAATTGAAAAAGCTCAATACCACAAACATCAGGAGAAAGATAATCACCTAGGGCATTCTTAAAGAACACCCAGTTGGACTATTCAGCCAAATGTATGAGAAAGTCAGAGACAAAGGGTAGCCTATAGATGTTCCCAACTTTTTCAGATGGCCATTTATTATCCACCCTAAAAATGTAAGAGAATAAAATGGGTTCAGGAAAGAAGCCAATTAAATAAAAGCAGGAATCTGGAGTTTAAAAATTATAATGCAAAGAAATTTGGGGGGTGAGATTCTTTTACATGGAATTAAATAGAACAGAAAACTTGATTCTTGAGAAAGCTGAGAAAACCCTAACTTGGCTTTCCTAAGCTTTTCATTATGTGATACATTAATGGCATCCTTGGTTTCTTAAAACTTTGCTAGCAAGTAGAAGGTTAGGAAGTCTGCCAAGCTTGTGGCCCAGCTTTCCAACATGTGTTTTAGAAGATGCCACGGAAGTTATGGAAAGAAGGAAGATGTCTACGTTTGTGAAAGAAGGGCCAAAAGTGGCACTGAAGAATAAATTGTTTCTGTAGAACAAAACCAGTACAACCAAAAAATATTTCCACTACTAGGTCACAGAGTTCTTGAAATTCTAATCCAGCAATGATTTATTTAAAAATTTTAAAGAACTAATGGATTTTTAAGGTAGTGTTTTTATGGCAGTTATCCTATTTGTTTCCTTAATGGGTGTGCATGGAGTAGATAAAGAAACATGAGAACAATGTCTGTGCATGTTAGTTTGCCAGAATGTTGGGCTCTTCTTAGGTTCACATAAAAGGATTGTGCATTATCCAGAGATACCCACATTTGATTGGCAATCAAAAATGGGCAGCACATTTGATTCAGCTTCTTGGAGTTCTTTTTTTTTTTGGTAGGAGTGTTACATACTTGAAAGTGATTATATGGGTGGTCAGAGTAAGTGACAGTCTAATAGAAATCATTAATATTCCACAAGGGCTTATTTCCTCAAACTTCCTTTTAGTTGGATTTTTAGTTGGGTTTAGTTTGATTTTTAATTGGGTTCAAGATAGCCAGCTAGAAAGAATGCATTCCAAGCCTTCCTCACAAAATCAGTCTCAACATGTGACTAACAGCTAATGGAATAATTGAAAATTTGGGGTCATTTATTTTAAAAAATTATCTCACAAGATTTCACCTTTAGGTTGGCTACACAGTAGAAAAACCTCAGATACCTCCCACAGAGGCTGAACCCATTTGTGCATTACAGCAGATTCATTCTACTGGGTTCATCTCCTAGATGACATAACAGCTCATTTTTTTGTCCTAGACTTTTTTGTAAGATAGCAATAAGCTCATTTTTTTAAAGATTTATTTATTTATTTTAAAGTCAGAGTTACACAGAGAGAGGAGAGGCAGAGAGACAGACAGAGAGAGAGAGAGAGAGAGTCTTCCATCAGCTGGTTTACTCCCCAACTGGCCGAAACAGCCAGAGCTGGGCTGATCCGAAGCCAGGATCAGGAGCTTCCTCCAGTTCTCCCACGTGGGTGTAGGGGCCCAACCACTTGGGCCATCTTGTATTGCTATCCCAGGCAATAGCAGAGAGCTAGATCAGAAGAGGAGCATCCAGGACTCGAACCTGCGCCTATATGTGATGCCAGCACTTCAGGCCAGGGTGTTAACCCGCTGCGCCACAGCGCCAGCCCCATAATCTCATTTTAACAATAAAAGTTTTGGTTCTCTCCCCCCCTACTTATTTATAATTCTACACCTTAACTTCTGCCTCTTCTCTGGGATTAGCAAACAATTATTAATATTATCCTTAAAATGTTGAAATTTTGAGTGTATTAAATTTATATTTGATGCTCCATTATTCAGGTTATTGAATTTGTAATCTTGGACTGCTGCGGATGTAGGATATTATATCTGAGAAAATTTGTACATTTTTAAACTTAATTCATTGATGTTATTGCTCTGTAACAGTTCTTTGTCTATAGAGTTTGGGGGAAATTTTTTCAATGAATTTTCTGTTTATTTTACAGTTCTATTTTTCTGTTTTTTCTTTGCAGTTTTCTGTACAGTTTTTTCAATTCTTTTTTTTCTAAAGCTGAGGATTTTATTGTGAAATCTTAAATAGTATATAATTCAACATTAAGCTTTTGACCTATGTAATTAAATGTGGTACTAATTAGTACTCACTTATCCAATATTAAATTCACTTGGGCCTTTCATTTATTGAAATAGAGAGGAAAACAGTTTTCAGCTTGTATCTCCAGGAGTAGTTTAATGCTTATCCCATTTATTAAACAATTCATAAATATTTTTATGTCTCAAAAACTCTGCTTTAGTATTTATCAGCTATATATTTATTAAATAAAATGGTTTAAAAATAACAATTTTTTTTCATTTAGAATTTGAATTTCTGACAGAGATATTTGTATACTCACTTGTGTATCCACAACACAGAAATAATTCTTTCTTTGGGCTTAGTATCTTTCCCTTTTTAAAAATTTCTTGGATTTAATAGCTATATTTGATTTCTATTTATTCTTGTTTAGTAATAATTTCATCCTAGCAGAGCTGTATTCATTATTCATGTATTTTTATATGTAATTATTTTCCTCAGTTTGGGCACTGATATTACTTTTTGTTAACTTCTGTCCCACCTTCCCTAACCTGGATTTTGTCCAGTTTCCATTTTTCAAATAGCTGAAGTAAAATAAAAAAAAGAGAGAAATTCAGTTCACTCAATTCACTTTCTTTAATAGGCAACTTAAGAATATATCCTCCCTATGCAGCACAATGGTGAAATTCCAATGAGATCTTGAAGAAAGTAGGCAAGTGCATAACAGAAGTAAAATGCATTGTTGGTTGATGTAGAGTTCCTGATGGCCCACGACTTGATCATTACCTGGGTCTTAATATGTGGGTAGCTTTTAATGAAAGCTGAGATGTAAAAGCAGTAAGTTAACTTAAAGACTGCAGACAAGAAACAGGAGGTAGGAATACTGTGTCAATTATAAGTTGCTGAGGGCCTCTACTCCAGGAAGGATTTTACCTTCCAGAAGCTCTAGACTGGCACCCCCTCCAGTGCTCACATGGCTGACTTTACCTTCAGTGTTCCATTTGGCACAACAAGTAGCAGTGTCTCCACCCCCTATAACAGTGATGCAGCCCTTGGACGTGGCTTTTACAATTTCATCCATGAGGGCTTTGGTTCCAGAAGCAAAGGAGTCCCATTCAAATACTCCTACTGGTCCATTCCAAACGATTAACTTTGCTTGGGCCACCACTTGAGCAAACTTCTTACTGCTCTCAGGACCACAGTCCAAAGCCATCCAACCAGAAGGTATGCCAGATTCCACAGTGGCTTGCCCAACATTGGCATTTTCATCAAACTTGTCAGCAGTGACAAAGTCAACCGGAAAGGTAATCTTTACACCGTTTTTATCTGCTTTGGCCATGATATCTTTGACAATCTTGGCTCCTTCTTCATCAAACAGGGAAGCACCAATCTCCATGTTGTTGAGTACCTTCAGGAAGGTGAAAGCCATTCCACCACCAATAATCATCTCATTAACCTTGTCCAGCATATTTTTGATGAGTTGTATCTTGTCTGCCACTTTGGCTCCACCAAGTATCGCCAGAAAAGGTCTCTCTGGGTTCTCCAAGGCTTTGGCAAAGTACTCCAGCTCCTTTTTCATCAGGAATCCAGATGCCTTCTGAGGCAGATTTACTCCCACCATGGAACTGTGCGCCCGGTGCGCAGTGCCAAAAGCATCATTGACGTAGACATCACCTAGTTTGGAGAGTGATGCTCGGAAAGCTTCGATTTCATGTGGTTCAGCTTTCAGCTTCTTCCCAGAAGCATCCTGGCCTTTCCCTTCTTCCTCCACATGAAAGCGCAGATTCTCCAGCAAGATGACTGAACCAGGAGCTGGGTTGGCACAGGCTTTCTCCACTTCGGAACCTACACAGTCCTTCAAGAACAGAACGTCTTTGCCCAGCAAGGATTTGAGCTCACTTGCAACCGGCTCTAAAGAGTATTTGTCAGGCATTGGAATACCGTCAGGCCGGCCGAGATGACTCATCAGAATCACCGCCTTGGCTCCGTTATCCAGGCAGTACTTGATGCTTGGGATGGAAGCCTTGATTCTCTGATTGTTTGTAATCTGGTTCTTCTTCATGGGAACGTTGTAGTCTACTCTCATGATGACTCGCTTTCCTTTAACATCTACTTTGTCCAAAGTCAACTTCTTAGAAAGAGACATCTTGATAACACAAAGACATAAGATGACACCTGGATCCTGATGCTGAAGAACCACTTCACTCCTGCTGGGAGGCTGGGAGGCTGGGAGGTGGTGATTTTTAACGCCTTTTTTCTTGTCCCGCCCCTTCCTTCTAGGCCGGAAATCTCCACCCTGGCAGCCAGTCTTAGAGTGGGGAGTGAAATCCCGCTCTGTGATTGGTCATTGGTCCTGTCAATCTGGATTTGGACTATGTTGCTAGGTACAGATTTCAACTGTCAGGGGAGAAGGGGAAGTGGTGGAGTAGTGTCCTGTCTTGAGGCCAGTAAGGAAGGTGAAGAAATGGCAGAGTAAGAACAGCCCTGAGATCGGAGCTTTCTGCTGATCCTTTTCTCCTACATTACTTTTGACAGTTACTCTTCCTTTTTTCAAAACGAGCCAGTCAAAACAACAACAACAACAACAAAAAACCAAACAACATACTGGTATAATATGCACCCATATCAAATCTTAGCGATATGTAAAAATCGCTGTGGTGCCAAATAAAAGAGAAAATCTGAAATAATGGGTCTATGAAACCTTGTTTTTTCAAAGTAGCACAGTCTGGTTCTTTTTTTTTTTTTTTCTTTTTTTCCCTTGTGTCAAATAATTCTGCTAAAGGCCTTGTGTCAAATAATTCTGCTAAAGGCATATCTTGATTTTAGCTTTTTTCTTTAGATATATTTTAAGAGTGGGGTTGAGATGATGTCATTTTTTTCATTACCCTGTTTCTCCAATTCTCAGGCTTTTTCAGGACGATTCCATAGAGATCATTGCAAAGAGCAACGGTAAAAAAATAAAATAAAAAACACGGAAAGCGAGGTTGATGTTTCTTTCAGTCTACAAATTGATAAAGAGCCTCCTTTTCTTTCTTATCTCCTTATTTTACTACCCATGTAACTTAAAATTGTATTGAAAAGTCATAGTTTTCATAAATATGTCTATTGTAACATATGTCTATTGTAACAAGAATGAAAGATTTTACTTTTTGAAAAAGAAAGTGTATGTTGTTAATTGGTTTAGTAATGAAAACCGGTTCGGTAATTTTTTCATTCAATCCATTTCATAAATTGGATGAACTATAAATATGTTAGCATAAGAACTTTGAGAGAAATATATTTGAGGCAACCCAAGGATTCTCATGATAAGAAAGAAAACAAATATTGATAAAGATGTAGAAAAATTGGAATCTTCATATATTTTTGATAGTAAAGTAAGATTGTCAATTCACTTCAGGAACCACTTTTGCAGTTTCTAAAAATCTTACAATGAAGTTTTCATATACCCCTGCAACCCAACTCAAAGGCATTTTTTATAATGATTTCACTACACTCTTATTGTAATGGCTGGGTTTTTTTAAATTTGCAATAACAAGTGTCACTAAGATGTACAGTAATAAATTCTCATTTGTTGCTGTTGGGAATAAGATATGCCATGGCCAATTTGAAAGTTTGGAAATTTCTTATAAATCTAAATGTAGACATATCAACCTAACTCCTGTGCATTTGTTCAAGTACATCAAAAACCAATATTCCTTCAAAATTCTGTATACAAGTGTCTAGAGCAACTTTAGTCGGAATTACCAAAATTTGGATATCCTTCAACTCATGAATGGATAATTAATAACTCAAGAAATGGAATACTATAACACAAAAATGAGCAAGTTATTTACTAATAGAATATTCTAACACAAAAATGAGCAAGTTATTTATTACATAGATCTCCTGAATGAAACTTAAATTGCATTGTTAACTGAAAGAAACCAGGCACAAATACATGCAGATTATGTGTAACTCCATTTATACCACATTTGAAAATAGATAAAATTAATAATTTTTTTAAATGAGCTTATCTTTTAATTATATTTTTCCATGAACTTTTCTTTTTTAAAGATTTATTTATTTATTTGAAGGGCAGAGTTAGAGAGAGAGAGAGAGAGAGAGAAAGTGTTTCCCATCCTCTGTTTCACTCCCTAAATGGCTGCAATGGCCAGAGCTAGGCTGATCTGAAGCCAGGAGCCAGGAGTTTCTTCCAGGTCTCCCACATGTGTGCAGGGGCCCAAGCACTTGGGCCGTCCTCTGCTACTTTCCCTGACCATTAGCAGGGAACTGTATCAGAAGTGGAGCAGCGGGACTTGAATGAGTGCCAATATGGGACACTGACTCCACAGGTGGCAGCTTTACCTGCTGTGCCACAGCGTCTGCCCCAGAAGATAAAATTAAATAGATGGAAAACATATCAATAATTTTTGTTGCTGGGTATGAGTAAGTGGTCAAGAATAATGAGGATCCCAATGGGAATTTCTAGTATGATAGAATATTTCTACATGATATAGGAGTGGAGGCTACACGATTCTATGCATTTACTCAAGTCTACAGAGTTTTACTTTATACAGAGCAAATTTAAAGAATGATCTGGGGGCTGACACTGGCTTAATAGGTTAAAGGCACAGCCTGCGGCACTGGCAGCCCATAGGTGCCAGTTCAAGTCCCAGCTGCTCTACCTCTGATTCTACTCCCTGCTCTCTGCTTCCTAGGAAAGTAGCAGAGAATGGCCCATGTCCTTGGGTGCCTGTACCCATGTGGGAGACACAGAAGAAGTTCCTAGCTCCTGGCTTCAGCCTGGTCCAGCCTCGGTTCTTGCAGATATATTGGAGTGAACCAATGGATGGGCAATCTCTCTCTCTTTGTCTGTCTCTCCTCTGTGCAATGTTGCCTCAAATAAATAAATAAATCTAAAAAAAAAAAAAGAATGATGCAGGATGTTAGAAAAGAAAATGAAGGAGGATATTAGGGATTAACCTGAAAGTATCATAAAATATAACAAATATCACTGCAGGTGAAGTGGAAAAAAAAAACTCAACTAATTTTAAAAATTAGGTTTCCAGTTTGTAAGTCTAATGATAATAATTTTACATACATATAATACCCTAATGTAAGTTTATTTTTAATCACAGGCATATAGTCAACAACTATGAAACTACTTTACATATATGTTAGAGACAAACAAAGAAATAAATAATGGTAAGTCATAAAATAAAGTTTTCACCTTATCAGAAAAGGAATTACAGATAAGCAATGAAGAAGATAAGAATGAACTGAGTCAAATTGGAGTTAAGAGTTGGAGATATCAGTATGAAGTCACATTCAGTTCAACATATATGTGGACCTAGATATGGAAAAAAGTTATAGATATGTGCATATACATTTGTGCTAACTTTCTGTCACTACTGTGGTAAATTTTCACAATTTAGTGACTTAATATCACACAATTTTGCTTTTAAACAGCACTGTAGGTCAGAAGTCCAGGTTTACCTGGCTGGTTTCTCTGCTCTAGTTTTTATCAGACTAAACTCAATGTGTTGGTGGTTGTATTTTACTTAGTAGACTCCTTGCATTTATGGGAGTGAGCCTCCTGCTTCTTTGAAAACTGTTAATAATCTGTTACAACCCCTCTCAGGTTCATGCATATGGGCATCCGTAGCTCAGAACCAGCAATGGTACATGAACTCCTCCTTACACACGGAATCCTAGACATTCATATGTGCTGCATCCAACTTCTACCTTTAGCCAGAGTAAAATTTCTATTAAGGACTCATTTGATGAGTTGGTCCCAATTGGCTAAATAGTGTGAACCTTCTATTTAAGTTCTGTGCCTTAATCATATTTGCAAAGTCTCTTTTGTTATATTCCATAATATATTCAAAAATTATCGGGGAACCTGGCATGGTCATTTTTGGTGGACCATTATTCTGCTTACCAAAATGTGATTTGTGTACAAATAAATATTCCCCAGTTTTTCTATAAGAGGACATAGAAGCAGAGCCATCTCAGTCACAAAATATACACCCTGTGTTCACAATTTAATTTCTAAATAGCATTCTCAAAAAAAAAAAAAAAAAAGAACCAAGATCCTTAGATAAATGCCATTTTCTAACACTAGGAAAGGAAAAGTAAGTTGAATATAGAGTATTTTGTAGTAAAGAAAAGTAAAGAAATACAATTTTCAGAACCTGAGCAAAAACAAATATGCATTGAATTATTATCCAATGTGTGAAATCAATTCACTTGTGTTTATTCATATATAAATACATAATGAAATAAATAAATAAGTGGTGGAGAAAGGGCCAATATTTCTTAGAGAAGAATTCTGAGTAATCTGTATACGTTCCATGGATACTCTCCTCTCTTGGAGATGGATCTTAACGAATCCAATGCGTGAATGTGGACTACTGGACTTGAAGGTAGAAGTAAGTATGGAGTATGGAAAGTTGAATAATAGCAAGTTTACAATGGAGAAATTTGATAGATTTCATTATACTTTATTCCTGTGATATTTTTTTTCTCAAAAAACCTACAATACCAGTCTAATCATGAGAAAGCATCTGACAAACCAAACCTGTCCCGGTCGCTCCTCTTCTAGTCCAGCTCTCTGCTGTGGCCCAGGAGTGCAGTGGAGGATGGCCCAGGTGCTTGGGCCTTGCACCCGCATGGGAGACCAGGAAAAGCACCCGGCTCCCGGCTTCAGATCAGCGTGGTGCGCCGGCCGCAGCGGCCATTGGAGGGTGAACCAATGGCAAAGGAAGACCTTTCTCTCTGTCTCTCTCTCTCTCTCTCTCACTGTCCACTCTGCCTGTCCAAAAAAAAAAAAAAAAATTGGTTCTGAATAAAGGCCATTAGCAGAGAAAATATTTTAATCCAAATTAAGTTTTTCAGTTTAATTAACAGTAATGACTAATGTTGACTTCTGGTTTTGATACATGTATTAAGAAATAAAATTGTCACAAAATGAAGAGAATATTAATATGAAACTGAATTTTATTCATAACTTTATAATGAATAACAGATGTTTATTTTTTGATAAGTCCTTTTTGCTTTTTAAAGATTTTATTCATTTATTTGGGAGGTAGAGTTACATAGAGAGAGAGCGAGAGAGAGAGAGACAGAGAGAAAGATCTTCCATCCGCTGATTCACTCTCCAAATGGCAGTAATGGCCAAAGCTGGGCCAATCTGAAGCCAGGAGCCAGGAGTTCTTCTGCACTTGGGCCATCTTCTACTGCTTTCTCAGGCCAGCTGGAACAAAAGAGGAGCAGCTGGTATCCACACCAGGTGAAGT